CACATAATCAACACAATCTTCAGACCCAAATTCACAACTTTTCAAAATAAAAGATCAGTAATTCATCTCAAAACAAAGCATTGTATCAACAACAAACTATGTGCTTTTACTTTGAAGTCTAATTGCCAAACAGTAAGTACATTCGAGTGAATCTTACTGCAGAAATGGAAATCAGCACCTGCTGCACCTTTTACTGTCTCAGTCCGATATGGTGGGAAAAAAAAAAAAGAATTGAACAAAAAGCAAATTATAGAAATGATCTGGTGGAGTATTTGACCCACAGCTTGACCCAGTTGCCGGCTGCTACTGTAATCAAACGGAGGACATAGAGGAAGGTTCAACTGGGTCCGTTAACCACACAAAACAAAGCAAAACGATTCCACCTATCTATAAAAATATCTGCTTCTCTTTCTGATTTCTCTTTTGTTTCTTTTACTTGCTGATACAGGTTAGCGGTTGTACTTTTCACTCCTTTTTGAATATGTAGATTAGATTAAGTGTTTGTTTGTTTGCAAATAATACTTTTTTTCTGTAAATTTGTTTCACTTATTTGTATTTCTCTTCGTTTACATGTTTAAAAATAAATAAAAATGAATGAATGGATATGAGTTTGGTGGTGAAGATCATTGGTGTGATTGAATTACAAAACATTAGAAATCCGACAGCTTTAGAAAAACTGTTTGTTTTTATTCATTATTTTGCAGTTTAACAATTGGCCATTAATCTGAAACCTGAATTGAGTCCTTACCTTCACAATTACAAAAAATGTAAAAACAAACTATTATAGTAGAAACTGTTTGTGTAACTGTGCTGTCACGTGAACCCAATTGCAATTTTAAAGGAATTACCAGCAGTTGGTTAAGCTAATGCCATTAGCTGTAGATGAGAACAGAATGTTTATGTACATGTCCATTGTCTGGTAACCACACTGAAACATTTCACCATTTTCTATTATCTTTCTACTTCCAGATCCAAAGTTCATTCTCACACTGTTTCTTTAATTAAATCACTGTCATGTTTTATCGTCACTGTACTTGTCTTTCAACTTTCACCCCCAATATGGGTTAAGGTATTCAAAGATTCTGTGCCCAATAAACCCTTTGACTTCCATTTCCACCCCATCCCCAGCACTGCCTTTTCAGTTCTTCTTGGCCTTTGGTGAGTCGTACTTCCTTTTGCTGGAGTACCATAGGAGCAGAGGAATGCCAATGGAGGGCAGAGTCATTACACCAAATGCAGCCCAGTCCAGCTGGAAAGGGGCAACAAAGGGGAAGTTAGGATGAGAGGGACAGTCCAAAAAGGAAAAACAATTATTGTCCTTTTGAATATTAGAAGTACGATATCAATATCAACCTGCATTTATCATTTCTAGGTAAAAACAAATAAGATATTGAATTACTAAGGATCAGATGCAACAGTGGTTGCGTATCAATTCTGTGCCACACTGCCTGCACTTACACCAGTTATGAGTGGACCCATTGTAATCAAGGATGTGTCATTACTGCTGGGCATTGAAAAGTTAAGAGTAGTAACAAGATGGTGGATAGCACTGATAACCTGTTTATCTAGTTATTACAGGTATTGCTTTTTCTGCAGATCACTGCACTCTTCTTTGACCTTGTCTCTTATGCCTTTTCCCTGTTGCCTTCCTTGTTCTCTAAAATTTTTGGTTCCACCTGGGAACTTTACTTGCGGGGGGTTGATCAATTTTATTCTTTGTCAAATTGTTTGAACAGCAAAAAATTCTTTCAAACTGGAGTTGAACTCATTCCATGTTGGTGGATTAGAGATCTGCCAGTGTTTTGTACAGTTGCTTCCAATGACAAGCTGAGTGGAGCTCTCTCCGTCACAGATTGACCATCAGCAGCATCACTGAGCACAGTTTCACTGCAAGCAAACAGTTACAGACTTACAGCTGCTCTGTAAAACTGCTTTTACACATGCACTGAACTCTGGAAAATCTGAGCTCTTGATGGGCTATAAATGAGAATAATCATTTCCCTGTGAGAGCCTTCAGACATTCTCCAGAGTTTCTCTGGACAATGTCCAAATGAGCCCATGTAAGAAAATAACAGGAAATCGTCCAGATATTCACCATGAGTGAATGGGCATGTCACTAAAGAACAAGTGAGACTCAAAATAAAAAATAAATAAAAAACATATTTAAGGATGAAAAAGTGGTGCCACACGTTTTGATTAGCATAAAAAATATGTGATCTCCGCAGCAGAATTAATACCTTACATCCTGTCTTTGCATGCTGCACAACCCCCGCCTGAACTGTGCTGTGAACATCTGAGGATGTGGCTATTGAGTTTGTTTCTTAACAGGCCGGACTGGAAAGACATTTTTAAATGGGCCAGGTCTAGACTGCTTTTCCACAGAAAGCGCCATTTTAGGTCACTTCTGCATGTTCTATATGAAATAATTTAGAGGGAGTTTATATATATATATATATATATATAATGTATATAAATGTACAAAAATATAAATTCTCTCATCATCTACTCACCACTATGCCGATGGAGGAGTGGRKGAAGTGTTTGAGTCCACCAAACACTTTTGGAGTTTCAGGGGTTAATAGCGTTGCAGCCAAATCCAATACCATGGAAGTAAATGGTGACTGATTCTTCAACCGTAAAAAATTTAAATATATTTTGACACTAAACTAGTGAGTCGATTTTTGCAGCGCTGTTCACCCCTGAAAATCTAAAAGTGTTTTGTGGGCTCAAACGCTTCTCCCACCCCTCCATTGGCATAGTGGTGAGTAGATTCTTTAAGCAAGTCATGTTATTTATGATGTTTGTTGGGTACAGGGCTCTCAAACCATGTAGTGAGGACATGTAAGAAGTGGACCAGGGAGGCTGTGGAGGACCTTCAGGTGTATTTGGACTGCACTGACTGGGATGTTTTCAGGTCTGCTACCAACTGTCTGGGTGGATACACATAGGCCGTGACTTTGTCAGTTTCTGTGGTTGTGGGGAAGAGAGCGGTGGCCCTCCAAACAGATGTCGGCAGTTCGATCCCCAGTTTTCCCCATTGGCATGTCGAAGTGTCCTTGGGCAAGATGCTGAACCCCAAATTGCCCCTCATAAAACAAAAAAGTGCTAATAGATGCACTGTATGAATGTGTGTGTGAATGGCAAACTGTACTGTAAAGAGCTTCGAGTGGTCATCAGGACAATCAAGAAAAGAAAATCGCTATATGAATACAAACCATTTACCGTTTCTGTGAGGATTGCTGTATACAATCACGTACCAGGGTGAGTTACATCAACGACAAACCCTGGATCACAGTGAGTGGTTAATAAAGTATATCATATCGTCATTTTATTTTTTTAAATTGACCAGTTAATGGTCTTGTGTTTAAAGCAGAGCTTTAGTTTCAGATTGTTGCTTCTACTTGGATCACTACAGCTGAGTCCACTCAAAAACCTGAGAAGAACAAAGACTTTTTACAATGCCATACTTACATAATGAGGAGAGAAGCGGCGGTCAAACTCCCTCTGAGCCAGGATGCCTCCCTGGCCTGGTGCACTGGTGAAGCCAACCTGGCGGATGGATAAACAATTCAGATTCCTTCATTTCATTACACCTGAAGGACTGTGATTCATGATGATAATGAACTGATTTTACCACGACTTGTCCTCCCTCCTGGGCCAGGTAGCTGACAGACGCAGAGGTGAAATTAAAGTAACCAGCCTTCAGCGGGCGCAACACCACTGTGTGAGAGACATTGCTGGCTCTGACAGTTCCATGGTTAAAGTTAAACTTGAAAAACTTGATTAAGAGTCAAGCTACCATACCAGAAATCAATAAAAACCTGTCTAATAAAAACCATCTTATGCCACAGGCTGTAGCTGAGGGTTATAGTGGTCATTTTCTGACCAGAGGGCCTGCAGTTCAGTCCTAGTCTTCCCCATATGAATGTTGTAGTTTCCTTAGGCAAAATGCTGAACTGATCTGCCCCTCTTAGAAAAAAAAATGCTGCTAATAGATGCACTGTATGAATGTGTGTGTGAATGGCAAACTGTGCTGTAAAGCACTTTGAGTGGTCATCAAGACTAAAAAAAAGCATGCTATAAATACAAACCATTCACCATCTATCTAACCAAATCTGACTTGCTCTTAGGTTTTTTTCAGCTGTATTGGAATAGAGGCGTCAACCTGTACAAATATTTTAAACATGAGCACTAAACATTCTCTTGTAATTTGTGAACAACTGTCTCAGTATTACTGTTTAGTAGGTTAAGCTGTCTGTGATATTGACCAGACATGCTCAAGCTCAGTTTCAACAGGGCTTACAGAATCTTTGAAAATTGATGAAATCAGTCCCAGATGAGAGTCAGTGCGAGTAAAC